TTCGACGTGCATCTATCGCGCGCCCAGCCAGGTCATCGCAGCCCTCCAGACGACAAACGGTATCGGCAAGATGAACCCAGAAGGCGGGGGGCCTTTGGGACTGCGTTCTTGGACGGCCGCTTTGGCGTTCTCCGCCTCCCGTCGAGCCCTCGCAAGCTCTTCTTGCAGTTGGGCAGTCTTCTGGCGTTCGGCAGCTTCTCGCTCAGATGCCTCCGCAGCCAGGTGCTTGCGGTGTTCTTCCGCCTCGGCGATTCGCCTCTCTAGCTTGGAAAGCTCTTCTTCAGCTAGCTTCTTCCGTTTGTTCTCTTCCAATATCCGAGCCTTTTCCTGAGCTTCAAGCTCCTGAAGTTTGCGTGCTTCTTCTGCGCGCTTGACTTCGGCTGCCCGACGCTGTTGTTCTGCCACCTCTTTCTCCATCGATCTTCGCACCCGTGCTACCTCTTCTTCCAGCTGCTTTCGATAGGCTTCCTCCCGCAATTTAGCTTGCATCCGCTCCTCCGCTAGCCTGCCTTCCGCCGCTTCTTTGGCTAGTCTCGCGGCTTCCGCCTCGCTTTCTTTACGGGCCTGTTCTGCTTGGGCAGCCGCGTCCCTCTCTCTGTGTGCGCGAACCATCTCCTCTTGCAGTTTCAGCCTCTGTTCTTCTTCCTCCCGCTGCTTGGCACGCTGTTGTTCTTCCTGTTGACGAATCCGTACTTCTTCAGCTTGTCGGAGGGCAAGCGCTTCCTGCTCCTTCTTGAGGTGTGCGTCTTCCATCGCTTTCCGGACGCGCTCCATTTCCTCCGCAATCAGTCTCTCATGCACCTCCTTCGCGCGTTGAGCAGCTTGTCTCTGCTCCTCGAGAAGGCGAGCGTGAGCCTCTGCATCGGCCTGTCTAGCTGCGGCGGCTTCGCGATCTCTGCGCTCTTGTTCCGCTGCGACCTTCTTCATCTCTGCACGAGCCCTTGCGATCTCCTCCTGCAGGTGTGCTTTTTCCTGCTCCTCTTGCTTCAACCTGGCTCGTTCCTCCTCCTCTCGCACTTTGGCTTGTCGCTGGAGCTCAGCAGCAAGAGCTTCAGCCTTCTCTCGTTCTGCATTGATCTGCGCAGCTTGCTCCTCGGCAGCTTTTTTCTTTTCGGCCTCTGCTCGACCCATTTGCTCCCGGAGTGTGCGTAGATGCTCCGTATGTCGAGCTTCGGCAAGCTCTCTGGCAACACGCTCCTCCTCGAGAAGTCGGGCCTTCAGCTCATCATCCGCTTGCTTTGCGGCCAGTAGCTCACTTTCGCGTCGAGCGTGCTCAATCTGTTTCGTTTCGGCTTCCTTCTGGGCCTGGATAACTTTATCCTGGAGGCCCCCAAGCTCCTGTAGATGTCGGCGGTTCTCTTCTTCCATTTGAGCGATGCGGGCCTCGAGTCTCGATTTTTCAGCGTTAAAGTCTGCAGCCATACGCTCAGCGTCATGTTGGATGCGCGCAATTTCCTCTCGCTTCTTATCAACCTCGTCCTGGAGCTCGCCTCTCGTCTCCTCATCCTTGGCGCGCAGCGCTGCTTCCATCTCTGAGCGTAGCTTCCTGAGTTCCTCATTATGACGTTCCTCCTGCTCTTTTAGTGCGCGAGTAAGCTCTGCGCCGGCCGAGGTATGAGCAAGGTCTCTGTGCTCGTTGACTATCTCATGCTGGATGCGAAGCGTCGCAGCCTGGTTGTTGATCAAGTATCGGAGGATTGCATGGGTGGACGCCTGGGTCCCATCATGGCGGAGCATGCGAGCGCCTTTTTCAAGTACGGGCTTGAAAAACTTGTCGTTGCTCGCAAGTTCCCGCTCCCTATCCTCACCGACTTTGGGGTCAACGTTTGACCACATGTTGGTCACGATAAGGACGTTGCGAAGTGTGCTGTCTCCGCACAGCTCACGGAAAATCCGGAAGTTCCGCTTCGATGTACCGCCCATCCTAACGTCGGAGATACGGTGCATGTATATGATACCAGCGAGTTTGGCACCTTGTTCATATCTGCGTGTACACAGGCGCACGTTAGGTGTCGAGGATTACGATCGTCACAATTGGTTATGCTCACGTGTTGGAAAGATACGCAGCAATGGACGAGAGAATGTCCGTGTCGCTGCGGCTCGTATCATCGAATCCGGGTGTATCGATCAACGTGACTATGCGCCCGTTGAGAAGAAAGGGCCTCGACGTCTTCACGTCGGTGGTACAGCTCTCCAGCCCACGTCCAACGGGCAGGTTTGATCCGCTGGCACGGTTGATGAACTGGTTGCTCGACGATCAGTATGTGCTGGAAGTAGCCACACAAGGGTGCGTACCGTCGACTTGCCACTTCCTGTGGCTCCCATTATACTGTCAGCAGGTTCAGCATGTCAACACGCTCGAACGCTCGCTGAACATACGCAATTCTGATCTCCTTTCCCCGAACTGCCATGTTGATAACTGGCTCGTCAACGAATAGAACAGTGAGGCGAAAATGAATATCAGACGGGAAAATAAACAAACACAAAACTTGTTCGCGAGGGAAGTAGCAAACAAGTGAGTTGCGAGACAGCTGCATCCTGACGGAGAGCTTATATCTGCCTCTGAGGTTCAAGGGGTTCGAGGCCACATGCGGACTCTTCACGACTCTCTAGACCAGCTTAATCGCCGCGGCGTGTTTGATCGGAGGGTTGTCTCGTTCAGACGAGGCACTGTTTCCAACGACGAATTCAAGGACACCATTTCAACGTTTCCTGATCGGTAGCGGAGGAGATCCACGATGCAGCCTTGCTGCTTTCAAGCTCAGAACATACTAGATACCTCGATGGCTCGTGGAGAGTGCTGCGTGGTTCACGGCGCACTCATGCCCTTCGCCAGCGACACGAGGATGATGAAGTTTTGCGCCATTCAATCGGTTGGGATTGGTCTTGCTCGACTCGCATATGTTGCAGCCTCATGCCCCGCTCACTCGGAAGTTTTGGTAGGTGGAAACCCAATGTTATGACCAGCATGCTAGGTCTCTCTACTCCACTCCATACGGTAGCTACACGGATCGTTGCCAAGCATAAAGTAAATAAAACCGCCGCCAAGCTTTCGCGAAGCACAAACCTACATAATGTAACAGACATCAAACAGGACTGGTTCAGCCATCCTTAACATGGAGTTTCTCCTCGATCCTCCGCAATTCTGCCTGATATTCGGATGCCAGCCGTGACGCTTGGACTTGTACCTTGTTCAATTCCCCCTCCACTTTCTGCGCCTCTTCCTCGAGCTCCTTTCGCGTCTGCTCGTCCTGCTCCTGCTCGGCATCAGCCATTTCCTGTCGCAGGACCTCCAGGTCTTTCGTGTGCCGCGCAGCCAATTCCGCCATTTCCTTATCAAGTTGTATGAATGCGGCTGTTTGGGTAATATCCAAACCCTCTCCAAGCTCTCGCTGGATCCGAAGCACTACGGGTGTCTTATGAACTAGGTGCTGAAGAATGCTGTGGGCGGACTTCTGCGTGTTATCGTGGCGCAGCATCTTTGCGTGCTTTGCCAGGATAGGCTTGAAGAAGATATCCTTGCTAGCAAGCTCCTCCTCTCGGGCATTCCCGTCCTCTTCTGTGACCGCCCCCCACATGTTGGTGACGATGAGAACATTAGGGTACGCTTCTTCGCCACAAAGCTCCTGAAACATTCTGAAATCACGGCGTGCGGCACCACCGACTTTGAAGTCGGAGATTCTGTGCATGTAAATCACGCCAGCAAGACGTGCGCCCTGTTTGTTTCTGGGTAAGCATGTTAGTCCGTATGACAGAAAGCCCCTGAGTGGATACAGACATACGTGGTGACGAGGTACGCAGCTATTAGTTTCAAGACATCCGTGTCCATCATGGTGGTATCATCAAACCCGGGCGTGTCGATCAGCACCACCGTTTGACCATCCACACCGAATGGCACCGACGTCTGGACTTCATTGGTGCAGCTCTCCAGTCCGGCGCCTACCCTCAGGTCGGATCCAGAGGCCAAGTTGATGAACTTTTTGATTCTTGTTTAAGCGAGAGGATGCTGAACATTGTCAGTTGAACCGACATACCGTCGTTTTACCGCTCCCCGTCGATCCCATGACCCTGATGCAAACTTGATAAGCCATCCGAGGTGGAGAAGGATGGATCAACAACGCACGCAATATAGATGGTTTCGCTGAGTGGTGCTTGACGTGCGGCTTTGGGCTTGTCGTTGTCGAAAGCCTCCGCCTGACGGCGACCGAAGCATGTCAGCAGTTGACCCATTGTTGTGATGCGTGAGCTGAGGAAGAAACAGAAACTTGAACCAACGAGATAGCAGGCCGCAACTGATAGTCTACCGCTGCACGTGTTGGCAGCATTGTATCACATTGAAACCACGCGCCGGGTTCGCCTTGTGTTGAGGGCCTGTTCAGAGGCGTGACTTCCATTGCGTTGGTTCCGTTGCTAGAATTCTACAATTCACAGTCTTTGGCGGTGAACATGCGTTCTTCCGGTGTCGTAAATGAACCGGGAGTTCTGCCGGCCACGCAAGTGAACTCGGGGGAGGTAGCTTTATTGCAGAGCAGAGAGCCCGGTGGATAAAATGACGGTTCGAGACGTATTCGTTGGAAGAAAAGGAAGCCGAGCAGAGCAGGTGACGAGCAGTCCCTCGCCTGCATTTGGTGGTTACCCACGAAGAATGGGCCTCGTTGAGCAGCGAGAAAATGGAACGTTCAAAAAGATCTGTGCATTTGGGTAGGGCGATCAGTTGGTGTTCTGGAAACTGGCAGCCGAAAGTGAGCTTGAGGCGAAGATGATGGCAACGATTCACATCGATGCTTGCAATAGTAGCCGTCTCTCGCACGTTCCACACATCCACACCGCGTGTTGCACTTTTCTAGATTAGTGTCCTGGCTACGCACCAACGGTAAGCATGAACCTTCTGTCGTGGCCTTCGAATAGCGGGAATGACGGGTCGCGGGTAACTAATGTCTTAGCACATGAAGCCTGAAGGCCGACTGCTGGATGAAATCGGTGACTCGCGAAGAAAAAAGTGGATGGTCAGGGGATTGAACCCTGGACCTTATACAGCCTAGATCATGTGATCGTGCAAAGCATACGCACTACCACTGCGCTAACCACCCTCCGCAGATGCCGGCGCTCGTGACATTGATACATTGAAAAGGGACGGCCGGTGCCGCGCGCGTATGTTTCCCAAAAAAGGTGATTTGGCCCACGGTCGATTGGTTTGTCATCATCTAATCTTTTCACTGTCCACGCTTACCGAAAAAAAGTGGCCTGATGTCGTTCACATATAAAAGAGAGCGTCTCCGAGAACGCCTTCAGTTTCTCGGCCCGCTCTCGAGTCAATTGCAAGGTCGGAAGTCGCTGCTGGACGCGCCATGGATCTCGTTCTTGGCCTTGCCGACGAATACGTCCTCGACAAAGTTTGGGCCCACGTCGTCCCCCTCAACGACCACCTCGCAGATGCCTCTTCTTCATCTCTGGCATCTCCGGCAAATTTCTCATCCATAGCACTCGCACCTCAATCAGCATGGCCGCGAGACTACGTTCCTAGGCAAATGATATCCCTCAGTGTCATAACTCTGCTCGGAATTCATCTGCTGTATATCATCTTTGCTGGTCTCTCGTTTCATTTCATCTTCAACCATGACATGATGCACCACCCTCGATTCCTCAAAAATCAAATTAAGCTCGAGATTCAAGCCAGCTTAAAGGCGTTCCCAGCCATGACCCTTTTGACGCTGCCTTGGTTCCAAGCAGAGGTGATGGGATACTCCAGACTTTACGACAGCGTTGAGGAGTACGGTTGGACCTACCTTGCCTTGTCAATACCCTTGTATGGCGCTCTACCGTTCTAGGAAGCACATGCTAATACCTCTTCAGCTTCCTGCTTTTTACGGATTACGCCATCTACTGGGTTCACCGTTTCTTGCACCATCCAAGTATCTACAAGACCTTTCATAAACCTCACCACAAATGGATAAGTACGTGCCAACTTAGTCGTGCAATGTCTTTGGCTAACAGACTGGTCTAGTACCAACACCGTTTGCATCTCATGCATTCCACCCTGTAGATGGATACTTGCAATCCGTACCATATCATCTGTTCATCTTCCTGTTTCCTCTCCACCGTTGGCTCTACCTCGGGCTGTTCGTTTTTGTCAACTTCTGGAGCATACTGGTACGTCATCGTAGATCTACATTGGATCGCAGTAAATGCTGGACATCTTCGACCTGTCTAGATTCATGACTCCGATATGATAACCGGACATCCCCTTGAACACGTCATTAATGGTCCCGCGCACCATACACTGCATCACCTTTACTTCACCGTAAACTACGGTCAGGTACGCACAGCCCTACCTACCCTATTCTGGTTTAGTCCTCATTCTTGTTCGTTTGCAGTACTTCACTTGGGCCGACCGTGTCGGTGGCTCTTACCGCCAACCCGAATCATCGCTTGATCCTTTGCTCGAAGTAAAGAAAACGTCATGATGATCCAGGGAACCGAGACTGGCATATAGACATTGACGGTGATGCATCACACCGAAGTACATCTAGCTGGCAGCAACTAATGTGTTACCATTATTATCTTCATTTGCATGCGCGATACGTCGAGACACAGTTACGTCAGGTGCAATTACTGTCGTTCCAGTCCACAACGCAGACAACCTTTCCAGCAGCACTGTTTGATTCCATATAGGCGTGCGCTTCCCCAGTCTCTTCCATCTTGAAGATCTTGTCAACACCCGCTTTGAGTTCTCCTTGCGCAACAGCATCCACGATATGCTGTATCGGAGCGGTTGAGACGTCCACGGTAGGGGAGGCGAATACGGTGAGATGCTGACGGAAGTATAAGTGCCAACGATTCACTCCGAAAGCGTGCGGCGGGGGGCTTACCTTTCTAGGAGCTAGACTTGCAAAGTAATCAAACTCTTTGCACGTCCACTCCCCCGAAACGCACCCGACCATACCGATCACCCCATCCGGTCCGACTGCTTTACACGAATCCTGCAACGTCGGCCCGCCCACCAATTCCACACACTTATCAGCGCCCTTGTTCCCCGTGAGCGCATTGACGGCCTCCAAGACTGAGTTGGACGTGTCGACGATCACGTCGTCTACGCCACATTCACGCATAATGCGACTTTTGCTCTCGGAGCGCGTCGTCGAGATGACACGCGCGCATGAAAAGAGGGATGATTTGGCAAGTGCTGCACAAGCGAGACCGACGCTTGTGGTACCACCTCGGATCAGGAGGGTGTCTTGCGTCTGGAGACGGAGTCCCTCAAGGGTTCCCCATGCTGCGTAACCCCCGGCAGATGTGAGTTATTGGATAAGAGATGTCTACACGCAACATACCTGTGAGATATGTCTCTGGAATAGCTGCGAATTGTGCCCAGGTCATGTCCTTTGGCAGCTTGATAGGAGGTGACACGGAAGTATGAGGAACGAGCGCAAATTCTGCGTATCCACCTGAGAGACAGCATTAAGTCAATCCTTATGGGGATGAGTAGAGCGAGCGGTACACCCATACCATCGAACTGCCTTCCCATCCCGCCCAACATGGCCGCGACGACATCACCTTCCTTCCAGTTTCCTCCGCCAGCATCCTCGACTTCGCCAACACACTCTATACCCAGCACGCGCGGGAACTGGATGCCTGGCGAGTGTCCTTGGCGCGTAAAGAGCTCCGAGCGGTTGAGCCCGTACGCTCGCACTCGGATAAGCACTTGGCCTAGTTTAGAAACGGGCGTTGGATGGTTCCTCGTATAAACGAGCTCAGTAGGGGCGATGGGTGCTCGAGGACAGACAACCGCACGCATCGTGTTCTACGAAACTATGCCGTGGATGTTTGATGACTTTATAGGCCAAAGACTGTCATCAGTCAGCCCCTGTCACTGTGTGATGCGGGGATCGGACGACATGCACAACGGTATGTAAGTATAGGCAGCGGCTTGTCAGCAGATATGTCAGCGAATGATGAGGGCTGTAAATTTGAGGACGGACGATGTATGTACACACAACCGACGAGATAATGCGGTCCTACTACATCCTAAGCCGTCACACCTATTTCTTCGGTCGTTTCTTCACCTCTTCCTCCTTGCATGCGTGTAACATGAGCTTGTTCGGGTGTCCGGGGGTCATACCGCTGTGGCCCTTGGACCAGTCGTAAGAAATAGCATACGCAAAGATAGTCCCGTTGCGGTTGAAGGTGGTAGCACTGATAGGACCAGGCACAGCTTCGAAAGCTAGAAAAGACAAGTCTGTAAACCAGCTAGATCGTCAAAACGGTAGGAACAAACTTTTCAGGCGTGTCCGCGCATCCTTGTCCCAAAAATGAATAGTGCCGTCGGATCCTGTCGCTCATCAACACGACATTGCACGACATTGTGCCAACTCAACTCACCGCACGTAGAAAAGGTGCCGTGAACAGGGTGGAATGAGATATCATTCACAGCATAGACTAGTGACTGATCTTTGGAGTTTGGAGTCTGATCTCTACGATGGCATTTGAACGAGAAGTTGTTGCTACGACCACCATCAGAGCATGATCTAGACAACGAGTCATCACACTCACGCGCTATCCTTATCTTCAACATATCTGAAATGATGATCAGTCATCCAGCACCCGCCCATCGCGCGAATAAAAAAGGAACAACTGACTGAATTGCCACACGCCCTTCAATACTTCCAACTGCAAAACCGCTGCTAGGCGAATTGGTAAAACAAGAAACGACACGTGTTTGCCACTTCAAAGGCGAAGCTATGGTCTGGAAAAACCATATTTCAACGTTCATTCATGCACGAAGATCATCGATTCGGATGACAACCTTGTAAGCCGTGTTTGGATTTGAAAGATTATATATTTGAATGTGGCGTTCTGCAGTTCCGACAACAAGCAGAGGATATTGAACGTCCATACTGTAACACCGTTCCGGAAGTTGCACCGTGGCAACAGGGTTGGCCGTTCGTAGGTCCCAATACTGATCGAAGAACAAAAAAACACATACACGATCAGCACCGCTTGCAAAAAGAAAAAAAAAACACATGCGAGCGAACCTTGATCGTCTTGTCCCAGCTGCCAGTAGCCAGAATACCGCCCTGCGGCGTTTCTATCCATTTGACGACTTTTATAGGCGCATCGTGCTGAGCCACTTGCTGAGATTGACCGTTTGTAATGTCAAACATGCGTGCAGCATTGTCCGCACCCCCAGAAATCACTTTGTTGCCGTCCTGTGTTCATGAAGAGTCTATGAGCTGCCACACACGATCTGACCATCACTGTATGTACGCACCTTATTCCAACAAACACTTAATACAGGACCCTGATGGCCGTACATGGCTTTCCCCTGTGTTTGCCCCCCAGCGCCAACTTCGTACAGTCGCACCTGTCGAGACGCATAGCACGCGTCAATGGATTTCAGTCGTGAAAATAAGACTGCTCACATTGTTGTCCCAACTTCCCACTGCAAGGTAATCTGCTGCCGAAGAAAAGGCAAGGGAGGAGATAGAGTCTGTCGGTGGTTCGGGGACTTCGATATCCTTGTCTGCGGGTGCCGCAAGCGCTGGTGTCGTGGCGCTCCCAAAAAACGACATGACGCTTCAGCGATGAAGCGCGTAAAAGTAGGACGGCAGTAAGTATAACAGCAAGAACACGAAACTCTGATGAAGGCAACCTAATAAGCTGCCAACCCCACTATACGGTGGCGTGGTAAAATGCGTGTATGAGCATGATGTGTGACTGAGACCGTAGGTGATGCGAGGCGGGTTGGCGTAATGGTAACGCGCTAGTTTCCGGAGTATGCTCGCTAGAGATTCTGGGTTCGAGTCCCAGGCCTGTCGCTTTTTTTCTTCTTGATTTCTGTCCCATTCAGACGCACACCGGTAGGTCTTTTATATTTGCAGGGTACAACTATTCTTACACTCACACCGTCAAAGCCCCGAGCCGAGTCGCAAGCAGCCTTCACTTGCTTTTCTCAAATACAGGAGGGTCAAACGTGCCATCAGGATCTGTACGACATCATCAGCAATTGTCAAGCCGATCGAGCGGATGTTATCCAACCTCTGCCTTCACGGTAAATGTACTCCTTAGCCTTCTGCGCAAGATGCACAACATA